TGCTTTATCACTTTGAAAATATAGCCAACGAGCTCTCTATTGAACTTAGCTATGAAGACATCAGGACAGCAATGCTAAAATATGGCTTCATCTTTGAGGTAAATTTGCATTATATAATTGTTATTGCATTTTGTTTGCATTGAAAACAATCATTGTGGTAGAAAAGCAGTTTTATTTCTGTCACAGGTGGAGAAGGAGTCAATGCAGACTACCTACACTGAGAACGAGTGCTCTATGCTGAGATACGTTTACGACTGCGTCTTCTTTGTTGCTCGAAAACCTACACTGCATTTTAACGGTCAAGAAGAAGAAGATTTACAACAAAATTGTCCACCTGCTGCTAAGTCGTCCAGGCGAGAGGGCAGCAACAGGCTAACGTGACAAAAAATTCCTGCAGAAGCTCAACCACCTAGACACAAGCAATGTGGACATGTTTTCATTTTCTCCCTAAATACGCCTTTTTAAATTGCCTCTCTTCAAAGGTGCTTTCAACATTGAGGTTTTTTGGTGAACTCGTGCATCTGAATACAGCTGAACATTTGGATTGTGCTAAGCAGGCATGGGCCATGAGACCTTAATAGAATGATAGATTGAGTGAAAGAAACCTTGTTTTTAAATAATCGTAATGAACCAAAACCTCAAAACAAAAAAACGCAGCTCACTATCTAATTTATTTTAAACAGCTAAATGTGTGTGTCTTGTAATAGTTGGAGAAGTCTAGTGGCCTCCTTTCAGCCAGCTGACCTGCAGTGGGGAGAGCGAGAGAGCTAAACGGTAAAATGACTGACAATTTTAGGAGTTTTTGAAACCAGCTTTTTAAAACCTTGATACTGGTAACTGCGTCGTGGTATCAAACTTCGTGGGACTGCAATATCAGCTTTAAAAAAATGGGTCATCACAGCATTTTTTGATCATGAAGTTATAAGTAATTGAGTTATCAGACGCAAATAGTGTGTTTGTTTTTATTGATTTGTTGTGAACTCCGAACCAGAAGGCGTTCACTTTGTTTGGCTATTAGGTCTCACTCTTAACTTATTTTACTTCACTGCCTTCCCTTGCCACAGTTTGTACGTATTCACGTGTGCCTCTGCAATTGAATTACACATTTTGTAATTTATTTATTTTTTACTTAAATCAAATGCATTTACATCGGTCACCGTTCAGTGTTTAAGCTGTGTAGTTATCATTTTCTTTTAAATAAAGCCAAACGTTTAGAGAAAAAAAAGCTTTTATAAAAGATTTTATAATTATTTCTGCTTTTTTTTTTCAACTTCGTTAAAAGGCACGCGGATAAGTTTTGTGCTCACCAAAGGAAGAGGAAAAGCGGTGGGCGGGCTTTAACCAGCAGAGCTCTTCCATGATTGGTCCTTTTGACTGTGGCTGTTGTATGTCACTACCGGTGTTGTTCTTTTTTCTGCATTTGTACTGCACGCATTTGTGTGAAGAAAGCAGATTCTACTTTGCTACTTGTTACCGCTGATTCTCTCACAGATCTGACTTGATGGCCAAGAGACGCGCTGAAGAAACTGTGCTACTCGACTCTCCCAGTAAGAGAAGATACTTCCCTCCGATTTACAGTATTGACATGCAGCTGGAGAGCATGGCTTCAGTGGGAGGCGTGAGTTCCCCATCTCTACTGACTTTATTGGGGAGTCGCTGCAGAAAAAGGCCTCTTTATTTCGACAACGAAGAAGTATATTCTCGTCCAAAGATTTCATCCTTGGACTCTGGAAAGCATGCAAAGAATGTTTTGAAGACTCCATCTTCTGGAAGTTTCCAGGACGGCCGCAGGTCCTGCGCACTTTCAAAAAATAAGCGACCGCGAGAGGACAACGTCGGTTCAGACACCGTTACGGCAACAGATAAAGTAGGTCAACATGGTTTGATTTAGCAGTATTTAGCCGATAGACGTTAATCTCTTGAAAGCAAATGATTCTGTAATGAGAGTAAACTGCCACTAGATGTCGTCATTTGCTCACATTTTTAATATCCCACAAGACTTGAATTTGAATGTGACGTTGTAATTTCATGACGGCTGCATCTCTGTAAATTAGCATAATATATAAAAAAAATCTTGTTAAAAAGATAAACTAGGACATCATACAAAATTCATTACACCCAGATACATTTAAAGTATTTTCTCTTGATTTTGATAAAACCCAACGCTCAGTTTCTCAAAATAAATAAAATGCATTACAGTAAAAGACCAATAGATGTTTTTTTTTTAATACGGAAGTGTTATTTTGTGTTTTCACAATAATGGGGAAAACTGACAACAGTTTTCCAGCAGACAGTAATACTCATTGATAAAATATGTTAGCAATGAGTGTGTCTGTTTACATATTAGTGCTGTATTTATGTGTATTAATAGAACATTGACAGTGCCTGATTGCATCTATTCCAGTCTGCATTGATGCAGTAAATCATTCAAAAGGAGGCCCAAAACAAGCACTAAGTGCATGTAATGTTGGTCTTTTGTGCTGTGGTCATTTCCTAATAAATGACTTTACATCATTAAGTTTTTACTGTAACGCTATCGGCAAATTTACCTGAATAAACATTCGAAATTCATCACTCTTTGTGATGAATCTGCAAGTTTCACTTTTGAATTAAATTAGCAAGAGAAATTAACTTTGATAATTTTCAAGATCAGTCTGTTCAAGTTTTCTTGCATCTTTGCTTTTACAAAATGGTACTATCAAGGTTTGTCTAGATGCTCACTTGCCTTTTCTCTTTCTTTCAGACAGCTGATGAAGATGGTACTTATAACTCTTTTCAGTACTGGAGGGTCCCCTTACCTGAACTTGACCTTTCACTGCTAGAAGAGCCTAGTGACCATTACCCCAAAAAAGACAAGTCAAAAGCGAATGACACAACTGCAGATGCAATGGAGACCTGAAGATGATGAACACTTGATGTGTTTTATTACCTGAGCAAACTGATCCTGTTAATCCTATAGATATGTCAGATAATAGAGTTAAAGTGGATGTCTTGCTGTAGGATTTCAGTGACTTTCAGATGTTTTGTGAAGGAGCTCTTGGTCATCCTGAAGCTTTATGTTCAATGGGTTTTGTAAGAGCAAGGTGAGGCTGTTCTTCATTTACACCTCTGCCCTTTTTTTCTGCTACATCTGCCAATTTGCAGCAGAGTCTGTAAAGTAGTAAGTTCGTCAAATGCGAAAAGGAGCTGATTATCATTCAGTACTTCATATCTACCATACATCAACTCACGCAGCAGAAGAAATGTTTTGTACCGAGTCCGACTTTGACAACTGATAAGTTTAAGTCATTTTCCAGAATGTGCTTGCAGGGTTCTGTGCAGTCTGGAGGATGATGTCACTTGTTTTTAGTATTCTTTAGCTTTAAATACATATATTTAGTCTCACTTTTATTCCTTCTTCCTTTTGTCCTTCCTTTTAGACGGGTTCTTTTTTCTAAATACCAGTCACAACAGAAATATCTGCCATAAAGTCATTGTGAAATTTTGTGCTTATGCTTAGTAACTATCAGAAAACAGATTGCGAACTCTGGAAAGATGTACAATTAAGACATGAACAAGAACCCATGTGATTGTAGTCTGCTGCAAGGAAAATGTGGATCTTGTCCCCAAATAAACATCTCTCAGCAGAGGTCGCTCTGAGTCACTTTGGTTGGATCAAGGAGCAGAATCTGTTTTATTTTATAAACCAACTGGTCCATATGGACGTGATGGTAACAATGTCTTCAGTAAAATTTCATATGAGATTTTAACAATTTTTTATCTTCTGGATTTATTAAGAAAAAAAGAAAAGATGTATACATACATGTAAACAAACAGGTTTGCTTAGTTGAGGTTTAAAAAAAAAGTTCTTGCAGGTTGGGATTATTAAAGCCTAATAAAGCGCTTGACTGGCACTGTGCAGCATACAGTAAACCTACATTACGCCTCACCAACTTGTTGCTTCACAATGATTACCCTACTACTTGCAAAATAAAGTTGTAGGGTGTTTAGAAGTATTTCTGGTTCTGAAATGTCAGGACTCATCACGCTTGTTAAGGAATTGCTGCAGTTCAGTTGGTAAACTGCGACCTGTTTAGCAAGCTTTTTTAAATAAGCTTCAAGATGATTCTGTAGATTTTAGTTTTGGATATTTCTGCTATTAATATGATACAAAGAAGCAATCTTGTTTTTACCCAGTTATCACATTGAGAGAATCTAAATGACTCGCAGCTAAAACGTTCATTGTTAAAGGTTCAGTATTGTATATTTTCCAGGCATGTAGAGCAATTTTGTAGCACAATCAAGTGACTATCTCACCTTTAGTCGTTACAAAAATGCTGTATATATCAAATATGATATATACAGCATACTTATATTTGATATAAATTAGCAAGAGAAATTAACTGATAATTTTTGAGATTATCCTTTAAAGCCTTGAAATTGGGCCTCTGTTTCTTTAAAAACTCCTGCTCTTTCTGACACCCCTTCTTCTTAGGACGTCTTCACAACAGCTCCTGTATTAATCCCTTAAAACTTTTCCAGCAAGTAGCTTGTGTGATGAGCTCAGCAGAGTTTCACCAGGTGTTTGCTAATTGCTGCTGGCTAGTCTGTAGGAGGTGGGAGAGCTGTTCTATTAGGCAGAAGCTCTGAAATTTGGAGACTGCAGCTCAGAGGAAGAGCTCCATCCTCGAAGTTGGTGCAACATGCATGAAAGAATCAAAGCAGCACTCCAAGTATGTTTTCGATGAGGGAATAATATTATGACATGATGTTAAGCTTCTAAAAGAAATCAATTTAACATAATACTGCACCTTTAACACCGTGACTTAGGAACTTGTGTATAAATCAGGACTGTTTGTTTATTGCTATTTGATAATCAGGTTTTTTTGTTTTTGTTTTTCTTGTAAATAAAATAATTTTCAGTGCCCAAGTGACTATTTTTCTGTGACTGTTCCTGTCAGGGACAGTTCAAGGGATAACAGAAAATGGAGTTGAGTTTTTTTTTTTTTCTTCCCTGCACCTGAACAATCGAGTAACATGTTTGTTGGCGTAGAGCTGTCCTTCTTTGCCCCTGCTGCTGCTGTGAAGCATGTTTGCGGTTTGAAGGGGAGGACCGCGGCTCTGCTCCGGAGGTCGAACAGTCCTGGTTGTGTTGGAAAGAGGAGGAGATCATGAGTTCCTCAAGGCTTCTTGGAAAAGAAGTGCCCTTTGGACCAGCGGCTGATAAAAGCCCAAACGACAGAGTAATGATGAAGAGGTGGGATTTGAAAGAAGTTCTCCGTTAGACTTAAAACATTTTATGTAGGTTTTACCCGCAGAGCACAGCCATGGTAAGTTATGCAAGAGGAAGATAATCATGTAAATCACCCGAAGAGATTCTGTTTTCTGCAACCGGTGTTCTGACCGGAGTCCAGAACCGGTTCCATACGGTTCCATACTATATTAGCTGTGTTAGCTCTGAGCTAACGACCGCAGCTATTAGCTGACAAGTTAATTTAGTTTAACTTGGCAGCGAAAACATGGTAAAGTGAGATGCGAAGTGCAATTGTTTAGGGAACTTCGAAAAGCCAGAATCTGTCTGCTGGACTTTGTGTTTAATTTTCTCTTTAAGCATTTCTTGTAACATGTACTTTAGGTGCGGAGGTAAGCTTTAGGGTAAAGTTTTTCAATTAACGACGTACAGACGCGTAATATTGCGCATGTGCATAACGCTAGACGGCAAAACTCTTCTACTTGCCATGACTTGTTGTTTTGTAAAATTTAAGTGTAAAAAAAACAAACAAAAAAAAACAAACAAGAAATTTGAATACATAGAGTGTAAAATATATATATTTGACAAAATCCAGGCTGGGAAGTTTTGTTTACATTTTGTAAACATACTAAGGTAATTTCTTAATGCCATTAACAAGTTGCACTATGGTTTTATAAACTTTATGATTTCAAAGCTGCACGATTTATGAGATTCCAAGAAAAGACACAATATGACCCAACTTTCCACTGAATCTATAGAAAATATATTGATAGTAGGACACCTTCCAGGGACAACATTCAACATGTTGCTGCACATTCCCTTTACAGCTTGTAGTATGATTAAAAATAACATCCTCAATTTCAAAGTAATGTGCAGTTGTAAAGTAGGATCTTTTTTAAACTACAAATTGTTATAAATATGTGCATATTTAAAAGAAACAGAAAAAAATGAACAAACATTTCTAGGCTCTTAAGCATGACTTATTAACCCACAAGTATAAACTTTAGATTTGTGGTTGGAACCTTTTAAAATATATTAAATTAGGGTTAAAAAAAAAGATTATTTATACTCTTCACCTTCACTCTAATGTATAACTTTCTCCACAGAGTTTTTGTTAACCTCCAGTAAGAATAAACATTAAACCCAAATCAAAACTGCATATATGATGACAATCAGTTGCTTACAAATACTATCAAAATGCATTAATTAAAGAAAAAAAAATTAAACAGTAGTAGTAGTAGTAGCAGTAATATTCCTTATATTTAGACTCGGCTTCTATTTCTGTTTCTTTTGTTTTGGGACTATAGTGATTCTTTTCGAACATCCGCTGATTTAATACAAAATCTCTAGCAGAGTAAATGTATCAGATAAGCACCTGAATTCTTTCCACTAAACTAAAAGCTAACATTTTCCAGTCCTTTAACCTAGAAACTATTTTGGATACCATAGCAAGTTTAGTCATGTGAAGTAATGTTACAGGAAGTGATAAACTGCTATAGTTCATGCAGTGTTTGGTACAGATAGTTGAGAAATTTTTTAGACAGTCTCCTTAAGTTATATAGCAATATAGTGTTTTTATGTTGTCACCAATGAGCATAACTTAAAATTGATACAACTTCTTGCTCTAAATAACTTAGTAATTCAGTGAATTTGGTTTTCGCTCTCTTGTGGTGTTCTGAGGCTGCAGCGCTTGTATTAAGGTTTTTTTTATCTATTGGAAAATCTCTTTTCTCTGAAACCCAACTACGCTTCAGGGCCTTTGCTAAGTGTTCACACAGTGAGACTCTGTTTTGGGTGGGAGTAAGCCAGCTCCGCAGCCATGTGGCCTAATCTCAGGAAGGGGATATTTGTATGTTTCCCATGAACACAGCTCTGCTTCTTGCTGCTATTGTTGAATCTGTTGGAGAAACTGAGTCGAGCTAGGTGGGGGTTGTCGCTCACTTTTCTGTGGTGTTTCACTGTCGGTGGGAGAGAAGTCTGATGGTGAAGGACTTGAAGCTTGAGTTCAGCCGTAGACGGCTGCTTTTGTTTGACTATAATGAACTTCACTGAAAAGGTTTTTGTTCCCTGAAGGAAGTCGTTTGTTTTTCCCCCAGAATAAATTAATCAGCAAAGATGAGAATACCGTGACAATCTGCTTGACCTTTTTTGTCGTTTATATTATCTCAACTGTATATTTTCCTATTTCAGACGGGAAAATCTTGGATTGAGGAGAGCTTCTTCAGAAGGGAGTGTGTGAAGTTCATCCCTTCCTCTTGGGACCAACACAGGTAAACTGTGAACTGGCTGCATGGATGGCTTTTATGATTCCTAGAAGAATGTATGTAGTATAACATTAACGTTGGTGGGTGGAAATAAACGTCATCCTGAGAGCAGAACCACTTGGCAGCCATTTCTTTTTTTTTTCCAGGAACCACGTTGATTATTTCATAATGTGTTATTTCCTGTTTCTTTCAGATGCATTCCAATATGCCAAGTGTGCCAAAGCCTGATCAGGTATTACTTACAAATTTTTAGTTAATATTTTACTGTGCATCACCACCTGGCTGCCCACGAGGCATTGGCATTCTTGTTTGATTGTCGCATAGTTTTCACTGCCCTCTGTTTATTTGTACTGTTCCTGTGTTTGCTGTATTTGCACTGCTCCCACATTGTTTTCCATTTCACTGATGCACTATTTTCAAAATGCCCCAAACTGCAGTTAGTCAATGAGTTAACGACTGTTCAGATGATGTGGAAAAAACTGAGAGAAGGCATGCGTTTAAAAATAAATTGTGTTTGGCAACATTATAAACACAATGAAACAGGAATATGTAGTCTCAAGGACCAGGGGAGGTGAAGAGGAAGGGTGGGAGACAGGAAAGGGGGAGTACTTGTTGCAGTCTGGCTTAGTCAGCTGGGGGTTTTAAAATGTATGCCAACGATTTACTTTGCTTTAGCAACATATTGTTACACGCTTACGCTTCAGTATTCGTCTTTCTGACACTTTTTTTTTTTTTTACACAAAAGCATACAAAGAAAACAGACAAATAAAAAATTGGTTGTGGACAGAAATGTGTAAAAAAATCTTTGCAGTAATGAAGATTTCTGCAGATACCACTTAGAAAATAAGGTGTGATTTTATTCTTTACAGCACTTATTCAGTTCATAACTGTACCAAAATCACTAAGGACGCAAAGGAACATTTTGAGCAGCAGCCTATCTAAGATAAATATTATAAGAAAACCTTACTTTCAATATGAACTCCCAAAAACATCACATATTATAACTTACATTTACAGTGCTCTTTCCTTGTGTAGGAGCGCAGTTATGCTACTAACTAGTATTTAAAGGGATAAACTCTTTCTGTCATATTTCATCATCGTGACTGTATTAGTGACGATGATAAAATATTAGTGTTAGTTAAGTACTAGTTAACTCTCATGACATTTGACCCTGGATCAAGGCAATAACTAAGTGACCTACTGCTGGCAGGGAGCTTTTATTTGAGTCCCCGCAAATAAAACCTGAGAAAATCGGTTATAAACGACCAAATCCATGAAGGGGTTAATGACTGAATCTGCAACAGACTGGCTGCAAAAACCCCCAATTTGTTTCTGTGGTCTAGTCAAAGTCCAGATCCTTAGTGTGATTTAAATTCTGTGGAGAGTCAGGGCAATGTTGTATGAAGGACTGGGCCTCATCTCCTCAACACTATTATGAAAAACTGCTAACGTCAATCAGAAAAAGGTTACAATGAGTCACTGAAGCCACTTTCAGTCATTAAAGGTCATTTGAAACCATTGAATCGTGGGTCTAATTGGGTGCTGATCGTCATGCCTCATCAATGTTTTGCACTTTCAGTTTTGGCCTTTTTCTTACTTGACTTACTGATTCAGTTACATCACAGAGCTGCCATGACTGGTTTCTCCTGTAAATGACTCATATCAAACGTTGGGAATAACGAACGAAAGAAATTTCGCTTATGAAATGTGACTAGTATTTGACTAGTAGATAAAATCTACGTTTAAGAGGACGCTCCTTTATGGGGGAAATAAACTCTTTTTTATTTTTTATAGGTCATCTTGTCTGTATGCGAATCAGAACCATAATAGAAATAGAGCAATATAAAAATCTACTGAGGAAATATTTAAATGATTTAATGTCCATCCATCCATCCATTATCTAAACATGCATCGCCAGAATGATTGGTGCCTATCTCCACCGATAGGCACCAATCATCCTGGACAGTCCAGTTGCCAGTCCATTGCAGATAATTACATGTATTTGTGAGATTTGAGCATTTTGGTGTCATTTAGCTCCACAATTCATCAGAGCGCACAGACTTCCTAAAGTAAATCATAAAACTGGAATGTCTAAGGTGATGGTGGATCTATTTATCAGGAAAGCAGCTGCTCAGCTGAGATTTTGTAATGTAAAACAGATGTTTCTCAAACAGACTTTGTCAGATCTAATGATGAAGTGCTCTGACATATCCCATAATTTGTTTTCATTGATTAGATGTTGCTGTGGCCGCTTGATGGGGGAGCACTCTTGGCAGGAGTCTTGTCCTCCCATTTCCCTCTGTCCCAGTCCAGAACAGGGCATGGAGGAGTGGTCCATGGAGGCTCACACAAAGGCCAGTTCTACCAACGCCTATGGGATCATAGATTTTCAAGACACTGCCACGCGGGTCTGTCGCGCCAAGGTTTGTATATCCATTAACTGTGGTTTTCTTTGCCAGCATTTACTAAATTTACACTACAATGTTAAAAAAAATTATGATTAATCTTCCTTTTACAAAAAATAGCTTTAACTATAAAAGTAGATGCTTTCTCTAGTCTGAGTGAGATGGAAGTGCAGATGTTGCTGGTTGTGTAAACTTTGGTTTGCTATGATGGAAGCAGATTTAAGGTGTTTTGTGGCGGCAAAGATGCTATCTGCTGTAGTGACAAAACAACTTTGCGAGCAGCAGTTGGAAAACGCAGCAAGCTCTTGAGCAGTGCCATGTTCTTCCAGTATGTTCGTGTGGCTGTGGACTCCAAGCCAGAGGCGCTGCTCCAGCTGATGCTGAGGGAATGGCAGATGGAGCGACCGAAACTACTGCTGACGGTCCACGGAGGGTCAGAAAATTTTATTCTGCCCCCAAAGGTGAACCAGGCCTTCAGTAAGGGGCTCATCACGGCTGCCATAAGCACAGGGGCGTGGATTTTCACTGATGGGATCAATACAGGTCAGTACAGGAATCGATTTTCTCTAAGACAATGATGCAAATACCTGTAGGGCCTTGGAGAAGCAGTTATAACCCTTTAACTTTTTCACATTTTGTGATTTTATAGCCATAATCCTCAATGTGTTTCATCGTTTTATCAGTCAGTCCCTTAATTAGTCCTTTTAGAACCACTTTTCTTTGCAACTATAACTTCCAGTATTTAGGTAATGCATTCATGGGATCGTCTCCACCAGCTTTTGTGCACCTTGAGTCTGAAACATTGAACTTTTACGAGGAAATAAATCGAAGGTAACAAGGAATATGTGCACCCAATATTAATTCATATTTATTTATTAAAAAGGCATGTTGTGATAGTGCAAATATGATTTTTGATATTTTATTAATTGGACAAAAGGCACAGCACACGTTTCAGAAATGAAGTCTTATAAAAGCTCTGAAAATCTTGCATTATTTTCATTTAGAAAAGTTTAAAGAAAAATGAGTATTTTTGCATGGCACTGCATTTCCAGGTGTGTCTAAGTATGTGGGTGAGGCAGTGAAGTTATTTGGAGGCCACGACTTGAGGAAGAGAAACACGATTGGCATCACATCGTGGGGAATGATCGACAACAACTTGGACCTCATCGGCAGAGACGTTAGTACTAAATCTGTTTCCTTCCTTCTAGCGTAACGCTGAACATGTTTTACTCAGCAAGATGGTTGTCCTTTTTGTGAGATGTTAACTCAACACCTGCTCAGGTATTCAGACCCTACCAGCCACTGGGCAACCCTTTAAGCAAGAGGATCTGCCTTAATGGTTTCCACTCCCACTTTCTGTTGGTGGATGACGGGACGCTGGGGAAACCTGGTTGTCAGCAGGGCCTCAGGAGAAAACTGGAGAAACAAATCCAGCTACTGAAGATTCATCCTCGTAAGTTCATGTCATTGCCTTGTTGAATATGTACGATGGGACATCGTCTTTCTGGCAAAACATATAGCAGCACATTTTTGTCGGTGTTAATTTAATTAATTTCAGGCTGTATCTATCTTCGCTCATCCTTTCGAAGTTCAGTGGATTGACTCGGTTCTTATCATGACTGTTTATTGCCCCTTCTCACAGGACTGAACCAGGGAGTGCCTGTGCTGTGTGTGGTGGTGGAAGGAAGCGCCGCCATTGTATCAACAGTTCTGGATTATGTTAGCAGTGCGCCCCCTGTGCCAGTGTTTGTGTTTGAGGGGTCGGGCAAGGCTGCAGACCTCTTCGCCTTCTTACACAAGCAGACTGCTAATGATAGGTGTGTAGGTAATGTTTATTTTAAGTGGGAAGCCATGTAGCTGTACTAGCTTGTGTAAAGTTAAACCAGTTATTAGGTGCATCGATCAAACTTTTACCAGCTGATAATGGCTTTGGACAATGCTAATTTTCTTTCAAAGAACGTTAAGACATACAAACTCTTTTTAGTTTTTATTCTATGATGCTGTTTGTTTTCTGCTGTTCTCTGGAGAACATCCCAGAACATCTCATTTTATACTGAGATTAAATAAATGGATTCTATCAGCTAATTAGGTGACTTTTGAAAATGCAGCCCAAAGGCTTTTCATATATTTTTTTACTTTTAAACATTTTGAAGACCTTATATCTTTTTTTTTTTACTCAACAGGTATGCTCTGTTGTATGTTTGTCTTTTGCAACTCGCTGTAATTTGACTCTCATCCCTTTTAGGCAGCTGGATGCTGATATTGAGGAGGACTTTCTGGGTAGGATTGGAGATGTGTTCGGAGTTGAGAGGACCGAAGCTGCTCACCTTTACACTCTACTCCAGCAGTGCATGGATCACAGAGAGTCGGTGAGTAAAGCTCTTACAGAAATAGGCTTGGTTTGGTTTAAGACACAAACAGCATCGTCATCATCGCCTCTTTGACCAACAGATCACCATCTTTGACTCTGAGGCTGACGAGCAGATGGCAACTGATGCAGCCATTTTGACTGCCGTTCTTAAGGGTGCATGTTTTCTCTTTCTGATTACTATTATAGACTTGCTTCTGCAAATAAGTCAACAGGAACACATTGCAACTTTGTATGTTTCAAGTTCCTGACTCACTTAAAGCTACATTATGTAACTTTTAAACAGAAATGTTTTTTTTTTTTTTTTACACTTTTGTTAAAACTGTTACTATGTTGTAACATGATGATATGAGATAGATAATCTGTGGAAAAACCTAAGCTTTTCCACCTCCTCATAGTGCTGCCATTTCCAGCTGAATAAATGCATAGCTCCTAGCCAGAAACAACCAGTCAGCTTAAGGAGGCGTGTCTTAACTCTGTCAATCAATCTTGTGCACGTGTTGCTAAATGCAACAGAGAAAGAACTCGTCGTTCTTTATCCGCCGTCGTCTTTGGCCATATTAACTCGCCTGAGCATTTATGACAGGCTCTACTGTCAGAAAGATGCGGTGGCATAGCAGTGAGCAAGGGGGAGAGTGTGAGCAGCGCATACACGAGGGTGATCCTCCTTCTGGCTCTGATTACTTGTTTTTAACAAAATATGTAAAAAAAAACATATTTTTTCTATTAAAGTTACATCCTGTTGCTTTAAATGTTAATCTATGTTGGATTGAGGCTTTTTCGTTCCTAAAACGTCGATATATAAGCTGGAAAAAAGTCTGTTGCTGAAATAAATATGCATTGAAATGTGTTCTGCTGGATTTTTAAATTTTTTGTTGAATGGAAAACAGGAACGAAAGCCAGTCCGTCAGAGCAGCTGAGTATGGCTCTGGCTTGGGACCGGGCTGACATCGCACAGAAAGACATCTTGGTGTATGGTCAGCACTGGCAGGTGAGGCCGGCTCTAGACAGGAGTTCATGCCATGAATTTGACCTTAATCAGGTTTATTCGTTAATCTACTTGATTAAAATCATATCATATGCTTTGTTAGGTGGGTTCCTTGGAACAAGCCATGCTGGATTCTCTGGTGATGGACCGTGTGAGTTTTGTGAAACTCTTGATTGACAACGGCATGACGATGAGCCGCTTCCTCACCGTGGATCGCCTCGAGGAGCTCTACAACTCGGTGATTACACTATATCTGTTCCTTTTTAATATTAATGATACTTCCTTTGTTTTTATAGTTTTGTCTTCCCAAGAGGGCTACTTGATTATAGAAAAGAAAAACATAATTACAATTATTTCGATCTATACCAAAATCATCAATTTATTGTGCTCTACTTAATTAACCAACTAAGGCTATATTTGCAAAGCAGAATGTGCTAAAATTATTTTAATAATCATCATTTTTGTTTGATTACATTGTTTTTGATGTTTGGAAACAGACTTGAGGTGAAAATATGAAATTTGATTACGTGGACGGTCCTCCTTCCTGTTTTAAAACCTATTGTCAGAATATTTTTTTATTTGAAAGCAACAACAACACGCCACGGTTCCTCTGTTTGTCTTGCTGGGTTTTTTTTTCTTCTTAGTCTTCCCAGAGCCCCTTGTTTGTTTTTCAAACAGAACAAATCTAATCTCTTTACTTTGACTAAAACATAGATGTGAAAATATAAGCTTTGATTGAAATCAGAGCAGCGCTGTAAGTGTTTGCTCAGGGTGGTCAGCCGTATCCAGGGTATTTTCCCAGCTGTTGACTTTGATGCTCAAATGAAAAAGCTGTCTGTGGACAACTTACACTTGTATTTTGCTCCACACTCTCTTTATCTCATGTGTTTTATAGCCTGTCAATTATTCACAGCTCTTGGTCCATTTATGAAACATGAATATCTGGAGAGCTGCTGCTGTCTACCAGTATTCTTGGGATTTCTTGTTTTTTATTTTTCTTCTCTCTCTTTCTTAAGTGTAACAAAACATCTTTTTTCCAGCCACAGGGTCAGACTCAGCGCTTCTTGCAGCACCTGGTTGAAGATGCAAAACAAGTGAGTGATGATCTAGTACATGTAGACATCTGCTGTTCTGTTGTACAGATAGATTTGTATGTGCATAAAGTGAAATTTTTTCAACATTTATTACTGTTTATTTAAATGATTGTGTCTCACAGCTAATAAAATCCCCAAATTTAATATCTTAGAAGTTTATTACATTTTTAAACAGAAAAAGAAATTCATACAGGCATGTTACGTTATGGCCCACAAGATCACGGGGAAGAAGACTGCTGACTTGGCAGTTATCCACCAGAAAGACATGAACACCGTTCACCCGTAGAATAAGACACTGAAGGTCATCGCTAAAGAAGCTGCTTGTTCACAGATGATGCAATTATGTCATCGGAAAGTTACGTGGAAAAGTGTGAACAAGCAAAAAGGGTTTAAAGACGTGAAACAAAATCTATTTGAGCTTGGAGGAAAGTATTAAGACTTTTTAGTATTCCTCAGCTGATGTTTTTGTCTTAAAAATCCTTATTTTATTTCATCTGATGTAATAATAAAATTTTCACAGAACTAAACTTTTGGTTATCTTTGGCGGTACGCCATGATCATCAAATGTTAACCAAAAGACTGTAAATGCTCAAAATATACAGTTTTTGTGTTCAGCCGTATGATGCATGCGTTCCACTTTTTGAGTTAAATTACTGAAATAAATGATTTCAATTATATTTTACCCAGAGAGAGGCTTCTGTAGTTATTACTCGCCTCTCATTTTGTGCTGGTAGACCTCTCTTCCTACAGGTTACCGTCTGTCTCTCATCGACATGGGGCTGGCGACTGAATACCTCATTGGAGGCGCTTATCGAAGCACCTACACTCGAAAAAACTTCAGAGCTGCTTACAGCTGCATTCAGTCCAAGGTGAGCAATAAAACTTAGATTATGTCCCTCTTGTAAGGAATCTACTAAGATCTTTATGAGATATATAAAAAAAAAAAAAATGTTATTTGCTTGCAGGACAGTAGACGTTTCAGCTCTGGTTCCTTTACTAACCAAAAGCGAGGAATGAACTTAAAGAAAAGCAGAAGTCTCCAAGACCTTCACTTCAGAACTGCCCAACCCTATAAAAGCAAAGTTGGTGAATCTACTCTGTCTTTTGGCATCTCATCACATGTTTTGTTTTATAAGACGTTCAGCTTCAGTTTAGAAGACTGATTAGTCTTAATGCTTCTGTGTGACACATTCTTGGTGGAGTCCCTCGACCTTTTTCTCTCATGTCCTCCATTGCTTCCCTCATCCGTCCATTTTGTCTTTCCAGGAACAAACTGAGTCGACGGGGAGCAGCCATCAGGTGGTGTTGACCCATGGCCTCGGTGGCACCACTCTACTGCCGTGTCCTTTCAACTCCAACGACCTGTTCGTGTGGGCCGTCCTCCAGCAGCGCCAGCAGATGGCGCTGTTCTTGTGGCAGCACGGGGAGGAAGCGTTGGCGAGAGCCATCGTGGGCTGTAAGCTTTACCGCTCGATGGCCTTCGAGGTGCGGCAGAGCAACATGGACGACAACGTTGCAGAGCGATTCCAGTCATATTCACTGTGAGTGTAAAGAGCAAAGTGAAAAGAAACCACTTCCTGTAAAATGAATCGCATTTAAAATGGCTACCCCTTCCTTCAATGCTATAAATTTGTTTGAAATTGAATTCTAGTGTTTGATGTTCAGGTTCAGTTGTACTTTTCCCAAATCAGGCGTGCAGTATAAGCTTCATTTCACTGAAAACCTGCATGTCTGGCCTCTCTCTGTGTGTACCAGGGAGTTTGGGCAGCTGGCTGTGGATGTGTTAGATTGTGCTTTTCAGCAGAACGAGCAAATGGCCATGAAACTGTTAACCTCAGAGATGGAGGCGTGGAGTCACTTCACCTGTCTGCAGCTGGCCGTCTCCTCGTGTCATAGACCATTTGTGTCGCACTCCTGCACCCAGACTCTGCTCACGGATCTCTGGACCGGCCCGCTCAACATGAGAAAAAACTCCTTTATGAAGGTAAACACAACGGATGATGATAGTTTAGCTCCCTGTCTTTGGTATTTAAAGGAATCTCATAATTGTTTCAAAATACCATTATGAGTCAGTAAGTTTAATTATATGTGAATTACGTTTATTACCAAACAAACAAAAAAAAAAACACAATCCTGGCAAAAACAGTTTTCTAGGGTTGCAACTAACGATTACTTTAGTAATCTGTAAATCTATCAATTATTCTGACAATTAATTGATCAATCAGATAAAAAAGTGGCACATTCTACAGATTTCTCTATTCACCCACTTAAGCCTCTTTCACATAATATTTTAAATTCATTAAACGATGCAAATAAGTAAATAATTTTTAAAAAATTACATAGCAGTTCTTTAGTGATCACTTGATCATTTGTAGCTAAAATTGGGTAGAGTTGCTTACAGACAAAAAAGGTTTTTCATCATAAATGCAAAGTGTACATATATTTTGTAAAGTTTTACCTTAATTACTGGTCCAAGTGTGTTGTTTTTGTTCAGCAAATTGTCCTTTTTGAGTCTATATCTCACTTAATCTGTGCTAAGTTAGTTGACGATTATTTCAGCAATCGATTAATTATTTGTGATACACACATTGTGTTGCAGATCATTTTGAGCCTCCTCCTGCCGCCTGCCATCTTGCTTCTGGAGTTTAAAAGCAAGGCTGAAATGTGCCACGTACCACAGAGCCACGAGGCAATGCTGTTTGGGCTCGAGTCTGTGAAATCGCTGCCTATCCCTGAGGGATCCGTTCAGATGGTAGGATGCCAGTGCAAAACTTCTTAAACCAGACTATAAGGTTTTCTCTCTGACTTCTTGCCACTTGCCCTCTTTTTTCTCTCGTCTCATGTCGCAGGACAGTCGGGATGCAGAGCGAGGCCTCCCCTTCCGCAATAAGTCCACCCTGTCCTCTGTGTTTAAACAGTGTCTGTCGTGGATCACAAGACTCTATGATTTTTACACTGCTCCTGTTGTTAAGTTCTGGTTTCACACAGTAGGTTATGTGCATCTTATTATTTATTTATTTTTTACCCATTTGATGTTTTTGATCCATTCAATGAAGAAATCTAACTGAGTGTGTTCTGTCTCATGTTAGATGTCCTACTTGATTTTTCTGATGCTCTTCTCCTTCGTCGTCCTGGTCAAGATGGAGGACCAGCCAAGTGTCCAGGAGTGGTTGGTTATTCTTTACATCGTCTCCTCTGCTGTTGAGAAAACCAGAGAGGTGAGTTATCCTGCATCCTTCCTCATTTGCAGGCTTCAGTTATAAGCTGCAGTACAATGAAAGTTAACATCATGGCACTGAAGACTCTTGTTTTTTAGGTTTTGATGTCTGAGCCTAGAAAGCTGAGGCAGAAGCTGAAGGTTTGGTTCTCGGAGTACTGGAACAAATCCGACTTTGTTGCCATCCTCCTGTTCCTGGTTGGGCTTTCGATGCGTTGCCATGCCGACCCCTTCCGGACTGCAGGACGTGTTGCTTACTGTCTGGACATCATCTTCTGGTTCATCAGAGTTTTGGATCTTCTGGCTGTCAATCAGCATGCTGGTCCTTACCTCACCATGATCACCAAGATGGTGAGTACAGACCACGTCTGGCTACTAAAGGATAATGCCGTAGCATTTGTGACGCCTTTCTTTTTCTTTCCTGTTTGTGTTCCCAGACCAGTAACATGTTCTTCATTGTGGTGATGATGGCCATTGTGCTGCTGAGCTTCGGTGTGTCCAGACAGGCCATCTTGTCACCAGATCACGAGCCATCATGGAGTCTAGCTCGAGATATTGTCTTCCAGCCATACTGGATGATCTTTGGGGAAGTGTATGCTGGAGAACTTGAATGTAGGTGGATCAAAATTTAGCACTTATTAAAAAAAAAAAAGAGAATACGCCCAATTTTGTAAAGTGAGTAAAATAATTTTAAATCGACTACTTGGTCTCTTGGAGTGCTTAACGTAACGTAGATACTAAATTAGTCGAACAGCAGATGACACATTTGACTGTTGCTCATCTTACAAGAACTATGACACTCATAGTTTCATAATGGCTTTCTTGGAGAACCGTGGTTGGCTTTATTGTGGCCTTGCATGTTTTACTAAAGGGAAAACATGCAAGTTTTTCTTTAGTAAAACTTACATATCTAAACACATTGCTTTAGAAAATCAAGGTGGCATTTGTTTATTCAGATAGGTTAAAATATGAGTTCTGTTCCTACTCAGTGCTTTTGTTGTAGATTTAATGATGCACGTCAACCTCACGTTATCAGCCCTCCTTTTACTTTGCTTGATAATTATTACTTCACTTGGAGAACATTTTTTAATTAGTGTTTTTTTTTTGCAGCTAATGCCCATTATTTACCCTATTTATTTCTAAAGAAACAATAGGATTTAAGTTTTAGTCTCCATTACTCATCAGTCAGTTCAGATTTAGCACTTGCTGACACAGATTTCAATTTTAAAAATTAGTTGTTTAAATCATGCATATGTGTGATTAAATGAAAAGTTTCCCTTACATTTTTTTGTGTATTTTCATGCTGACTCCCACCAGTGTAACATCGATGTGTTTGTGTGTTGACAGCATGTGGTGATGATCCCTGTCCTCCTGCATTTTTTCTGTCACCGCTCCTCCAGGCTGTCTACATGTTTGTCCAGTACATCATCATGGTCAACATCCTCATTGCATTTTTCAAGTGAGCCTCCTGTTGCACTGACAAAAATACATGCATGCATAGATATATACTGGTTTAAAAAAAAAAAATAGCAGTGTGTAAAATGATGTCGTCCCTAACAGCAACATCTATTTTGAAATGGCTTCAATATCCAACAAACTGTGGAAGTACAACCGCTATCGCTACATAAGGACCTATCAGGAGAGGCCGTGGCTGCCCCCGCCGCTCATCCTGCTCAGTCACGTGGCTCTTGCTGTCAGAAGCATCTACAGGAGATTTAGTGGAGATGCTGAGCAGGAAGAGAGGCGCTCTGGGCTCAGTGAGTACCAACAGTATGCACAGTGCTGCAGGGACAGAGGGGATAAGTTTGCAGTTATTTTTTTAAAATGCATCTTGGCACCACAAATGGTATTTCTCCTGTTTTTTGTTTTTTTTTAATTTACTTTTACCAGAACTCTATCTGGGCCTGGAGGATAGAAAGAGGCTGTATGAGTTTGAGGAGAAATGTGTTGAACTCTACCTTCACAAGAAGAACGAAGATCTCCACAGCACTTCCATAAACAGAATCAGAGCCACAGCCGAGAGGTTTGCTTTATTTTAAGCTGCCTGCTGGTGTGAAACGGGGCATCCGCACATCCTTAAAATGTCTTAAATTCATTCAAAAAATAAGTTTATGAATTTTTGTTTTTCCTCTGAGTTTTCCCTCCCGCTAAATTGCATTCAGACGTTTTCATTGTGTGGCTTGAGGCGTTTAAAGCTACCTCTAACTAGCAGCTAATATAGCCTTGCTAGCTAGCTCAGTTTTTTTGCCTGTATCTTGGATAAGTGCAAATTTATCGCCACTTGACCGGACAAAGTTTGTAAATTTCTCTGTGTATATATAGGTCGAAACTCCATTCATAATAGACTTAAAAAGTCTTAAATTTGAGTTTGTGAAAACTGCAGAAACCCTGTGAAAAAAAAAACAAGCCCTCTACTCAAACTGCTGAAAATTTGAGTAGAGATTTTGATTTGATTTTAAAAGTAGTAGTCAGGTCATGCCACAAACCTTGTTACATTGTTACAAACTATCCACATTTGTCTTTGCTTTTGTGCCACTAGAGCTGATGAGATGTGTGGGATGGTGGGGGAGGTCTCAGAGAAGGTCATCCTCATTCAGGACAGCCTGTCGGAGCTGGATGGTCAGCTCGGTCAGCTTCAGGACCTCTCTGTGCTGGCTGTGGACACCCTCACTCTGCTCTCTGCCTCCGACAGCCTTCAGCAGGAAGAGGCCCGCCTGGCTCAGTGTCGCCACGTTTTACCGGCATCCCGTCACGTCCTCCCTCACAGCTGGACCCTCCCTCACAGGGGAGCGGAGGACTGTGATGTTTCTAATGTGCGCCGCCTGGAGATTAAAGCCTGCAAAAGCACGCCGCCCTCGTTGCTGAAGGGGTCTGCTGTTGAGGGAAGTCGACGAGCGTCGCAGGACTGCCACGCCGGAGTGAGAGAAAACAGAGCAGGAAAAAAGGGACTGCCTGAGGCAGGAGAGGAAACGGCTAAAGAGGTGGGTGGCTACATCGCGAGCTTGGATAAAATTAGTTTGTCTAAACCTGTCGCTCTTTTCACCTTCCACAGTTTCTCTTAATAGCTAAATAAAGACACAACAGCAGATTTTAGCATTTTTCAACTTTATTTGATGGAATAATTGCACTAAATGACTCCAGAACAAGCAGTAATAATTTTAGGTCTTTCTTGTAATTCATTTGGAAACTGCTTTTTCAGAAACAGAATCAGCTTCATAGGCCATGATTGTGTGCCCAATCAAATATTTTAACTTTTTATTTCAAGGGCTTCCATTAAGTTTAAATATATCAACTTTAGAGGAAATAAGGGAGTTTTTAATTGCATTTTCCACAAAGATCAACATGTCATAGAATAAAATATATCCAACCACTTTATTGCAAATATTTAACATTTTTCTTTCTTTTAAAGCCTAAAGATAGAAAAGTATTTGGATGCGAGAACAGATTTTTTTATAGTAGAAATTTATCAGAAATTATAAGCAGTTCTTTTTTTTCCAAAAATCTTGGAATATTTGCCGTCTTAAACAAGTTTTATTTAGCTCGACTGGAGGCAAAATGGCTCCTTTGAATACAAAGGTTACAGACACTGGGTCTTTATGATTCATCTCTGAAACAGCAAAATACTCCCACACTAAATGATATGTAAAGAATAATTTAAACAAACACATTTTCCACAGGACTCTAGGTCTGTGCCTCTTGAAGATCCCAGTGAGAACTGGTTCAGAGGCCCTGGACGTGGGTCACATGTTTCCTCCTCTCAGTGTAACCTCGGCGACGGAAGGACTAAGACGCCCTCCGAAACCCCTGAGTCGTCCCGTTGCGGGTCTCCCATTTCACCCAAATCGTTCGGGACGGCGCATAGCAAAGCTTGGACGCATGACCCTCATTTGTATCCCAGTCAGGAGGAAGCTTCAGTTAAAGAAGGGGAAGAGGATGCTGAAAGGGAAGAGAAAGAAGAAGAAGATGTAACCAACCTGGAGGTATTTGTGGCCTATAGTAATTGTTTAACTGTGTCTGACTCTGACAATGACGATGTTTCTCCCGACTTTTCTCAGGATGAAAGTCAGCCGAGTTTTCCATCCAGGCATTCCAGCCACTGGAGAAAACCCCCATTGCCCACCAGGTGGGCATGTTTGCCCAGAGAGCGTCCATATGGGTACTGCAGGTCTCTTTCATCCAGCATGGAGAACATCGCTTTTTCTGGTGCACCTCTCAGCCCGACGAAGGGATCTTTCCCATCTCTTGACGAAACGACGGACAAGGAGGACATGTCTGACGGAAGAGGCCTGAGGAATGATGCGTCTTTACGCTGCAGCAAGAGCCAAGGTAAAACTCCTTGTGCCACTTTAACGTTCCGGGTGATTATGCCGTCATGCAACCGAATTCTCCAGGTTATATGCTTTGTTTCTGCAGAATGGGGAAAATCCTCAGATTTCTCTCAAGACTTGGACAGCAGAGACAAAATCCACAACAGGAAGACAGTGAAGATAAAGGCGAGCATTCCAGATCCAGTAATCACGCTGTTGATTTTTACCTCTTTTCACGATAAAACAAAGTTTTATCGTGAAATTAATCATAAATTAATCATAAATCTCATTTTCCGTTCCCATCTCTCTCTCTCGCCTGTTTCTTGACAACAGGAGACGCTGGAGTCCCACTTGTCCGACGCCTTGTGGAGGAAACGGCGGAGGTTTGTTGGAGAGCCGGCGTGTTGGTCAGCTTCAACCAGCCTCAGTCAGCTCAGTAAGGATCTACATTCACCAACACAACTAGCTGGAAGTAATGGATTATTGTGAACAGGAAGAGAAGTGACGCAGGCTTCTGGAAAGTTTTATTCTAAATAAAACGTCTGATACACTGAAATAAAAATCCAGTGGAACCAGTTGCCTGAAGAAGTGGCCTAATTAGTGAATAATGTCCACTTATGTGTAGAGGTTTTTAATTTATTTTTAATATATGAATATGATTTGTATTTTTGCTGTTTATTTATTTATTTATTTTTTTGTAAAAATCGAGTTTTGGTATAAATATTGTTTCAGATTTTGATCCCACTGATTTGATGCAGAAGCAGGTGATTTCCCATCAGGTAAATCCTCCCTGAGCTTCGGTTTATATCGAGTCTCTGCTGGAAATGTCAGTAAACGCCTGAAGGATGTTTTTTTTTTTTTTTTTTTTTTTTGTTTCTCAGGAGTTGTGGAGTTCGACTCATTCAACTCGAAGCAGCTGGGCCAAATCAATGAGCCGCAGGTCTTCGTAAGTCTCCGCTTCAGCTTTTCTTTCAGAGTTAATTGGAATATCCAAACATATATGAATATAAATGTATATATTTAACATCTCTCTTGTAGCTTGCAGAGCGGATTTGCTCCAGAAGGTATTTCTTATCATTTCACACTTATTGTGTATTTTGCTGCTGTTGTTTATTTATGTATAACAGTGATTCTTGAGAATAGGGACAAAATGGGTTTTAATTTTCCCATATTTTTTTTTTAT